GAGCCGCTGCTCAAGCCACCGACAAACAATTGACGTCTTGTCGTTATCCACCTGCAAATTCAAATCATGGCTCACTATGCCAGGCGTGGCGTGGGGCATGCAAACAGGCAGTGGGCTTTAATTGATGAGCAGTTGGTTGAATTTAGAGATGGCCCCGGCGCATCTGGATATCCAGCCGCTTTTTCTGGGGAAATCACCATCCAAACCCGCATCCGCAGCCGCTGGCGGGTATCTTCAGATACCCGCCTTTTAAAAGGTTAGCGGGGCAGCGGCTGGAAGGGGTTCCTTCCAGTTGGCAAGGATGTACCTTGCCGGCTGGAAAGGTTTCCTTCCAGCCAGCAAGATACATGTACCTTGCCCATTGGAACGCAAACCTTTCAGTCGTGGAGAGTGTCATGCTGCCCATCAGCGGCTTCCGCTACGGATGTCGATGGGAACTTCTCTCGTTGAGAGGGGTTGACCTTCGAGACATGTTGTGTCAGCGCCGGTCTCTAGAGTGACTACGCGCTGTTGATGGGGTGGAAAGGGTCGTACTATAGCTTTCTTGTGAAAGCCAGTAGAAATGGAACCTCACCTCGACGCTAGTAAGCGGAGGGGTTAAGCACCCTTAGTAAGGGGACGTACGCGGTATGAGCGTCGCGTCGCCGGGCTTAGAGCTAAGTAGTCTCTCTTCTAGGCTACTGTAGTGACTTTAAAGTAGTATAGGAAGGTTGGTACGGAATAGAAGATAGGGGGGAAGGTTTTTAGAAGGTTTAATAGTAGATTGTAAACCCCACTCACAGTTTGTATTGTAAGGTAGACGGGTTTGTATGGTAATCTCTGGGGGGAGGATTCTTGGGAAGAAGACCTCCCCCTTAAGTAGTACAAAGGCAGGGGTCAACCTGCCTGTGAGACCGGTGAGGCCTGCAGAGGATCATTTATGTATTTAAATCATAAATGATCAAAACATGTATTTAAATTAAGATTTAAACCAGAAGTGGAGGAAATGATGTCATTCAAGCTCAAAAGAGAAAGAATGATGACATCTCTCTCATTACAGTGTATAGAGAGATGATTAAGCTTTCAGACTATATGTATATAATCTTTCTAAATATGAATATTAATACAGAGGTAAATACTTAAGTAAATCCGGGGAATTACTTAAAGCATAAAAGTATAAAAATTAAATAATAATAAAAATATAAGATTACATAATTGGTATTTGAACCCAAGTGTGTTGGTGAGGCAAAGTCATAACACAGTCCTTAACCAATACACTACAGTACATGTGCTTGTTGGTTAAGTACAGGTTGTAGACACATGGGCTACAGCCTCAGTGTCTGACATGTTGACATGTCCTAAAGGTTTCACAAAACAATTAAAACAAATTAAAAATAATTATTATTGAAATTAATGTAGATTTCACTTACATGTTAAGAGGTTTCACAGATATGTGATCTCTAGAAATTAAGATTAATCAAAGAAAACCAAATTCTTTGAATATTGAAAGCAATCTTCAAAAAATGACTTCAGCCTTGCAAGATGATCAAATCAAGGCAATGCAAACAATAGCAAGCTTTGGAAGAAGGACTGGTACAAAGCATTCATCCCCTGAGACCAGAACTCTCCTTCCTCCCTCCTCAGCAAAAAAAATTCTTCTTACCTCTCATACTTACTTTTGAGACAACAAAATAAAAAGGTAATTACTTAGTGTAACTCACTGGAAAACAAATCTTTCTGTTTGTCTTACTCTATCTAATCCCCTTCTTAATAATTGTCTACATAATTAGTTTTGAGATTAAAAGATTTTGATCGAATTATGTTCTATTCTTTCCTCCTTAGATCAACCTCAAAAGATATCCTAAAACATTTACTTTTCCTAGCTTGATATACCGTTCCGGATTCATTGAAGTAAGCCTTCTCCTCCCTCAAGCAAGATTAAAAGAAATCTTATAGTTCTTGTTTCCCGTTTCTCTTTTCCTTTCCACTCAATCTCAACTCTCATAAAAAAATCAATTATAATTATAGTGTAAACAGGGTACGGCGGATCAAATGGTCGACTCAGATTGTTTGTATCTGTTATGGTTCTCTCTCCGTGATAGTGTAAAGTGACTCAGACTGAAGAAATAAGACTTTTTGAAGTGACACGGACGTATTTTTTAAGGGTTTTTAATTTTATCTGTGTGGATGAATCAAATGGAAATATAATGAAATATTTTTGTGATTTTTTGTGGCACGAGAGGAGTGGAACGGGGCTTGATAAACGCACGCCACCCCCCCTGGCGCACGCCAGGTGCGGATTGGCGTGCACACCTGCACGCCAAAGAAAATTGGCGTGCGGGCCCGCACGCCAATCTACAGAGTGTAGACCGGCGTGCAGGCCTGCACGCCAAGGATTCGCTGCCGTCCCACAGGACCCAGGCATGGGTCCTATGGGACGGCCCCTTTGTTTTTTTTTTTTTTCATTTCATTACATTTTTTTTTTCAAATCCCCTCGGCATAAAGAGGCCGAGGTCACACCAGCTCGTTGGGAGGGGTTCCTCCCGGCGAGCTGGTTTCTTTACCAGCTCGTCGGAAGGATTCCCTTCCGAAGAGCTGGTATATGTACCAGCTCGCCGGGAGGATTCCCTTCCGACGAGCTGGATTGTGTACCAGCTCGTCGGAAGGGGTTCCTTCCGACGACCTGGATTATGATCAAGTACAATAGCATATTCTTCCAGCTGACTAGTCGGTTTATCTAAGAAATGTATTAATTTACATGATCAAGAGGATTCTGCAATTCTGGTGAGCATAGCTTTGACCGACTTCAAGCTCTTCACAAACGGTTGGAATTGACAATACTGATGAAATTCGACGAGTGTCCACATGACACCTAATTGGCGCGAATAATTCTGATCAATCAGTCTGACATAATTTGCCAAAAGATCAAGTTCTCCTAGACGACCGAAAGAATTGAAGTCAAGGGTTGATGCAGGCTGCTCGAAGATCGAATCTAGCCATCGAGCTGGCCGAAATTTCTTGGAGAGATACAGTTGAAGGTTTTGGATGTCTCTCAGAACCTGGGTGCTTTTGGACATCAAGTAGAGCTTCGTTTTCAGGGTCAGACTGGTTTGATGAGCTGTGGCAAATGAATTCGGTTGGGTGTTGGAGAAGTATTCCATCGCTTGATATAGATGAGATAACTCCAAAGGCCGTCGTGGCTCTTGCCGAGGAGGTCCAAATGCATTCGCCAACTCTATTAGGCTTGCAGTCTCAACACTCACAACCGTTGTTCTGGAATCTCCGCTGGGATCGATCAGAACGTTTTCTGGTCTAGTGGGATTCTTGCTGAATACAAGATCCTTTACTTCTTCCACTCGTCCGAAGGATTCCCTTCCGACGAGCTGGTATAAAACCAGCTCGCCAGGAGGAACCCCTCCCGACAAGCTGGCGTGTACATACGCTCGCCGGGAGGGGTTCCTCCCGGCGGTGTGACCTCAGCCTCTTTAGGCTGAGGGGATTTGAAAAAAAAAAGGAAAGAAAAAAAAACAAAGGGGCCGTCCCATAGGACCCATGCCTGGGTCCTATGGGACGGCGGCAATCCTAAACGCATATGTATACATATGCGTTTAGGAATCCTTGGCGTGCAGGCCTGCAATTTTCTTTGGCGTGCAGGCGTGCGCCAGGTGCGGATTGGCGTGCGCCAGGGGGGCTGGCGTGTGTTTATCAACGCCCGAGTGGAACAGATAGCGCAAGATTTTTATTTTTGTGTTTTTTGGTGTTTTTATTTCTGATACTAAGAAAATGAGATGAGTTGAGATAAAAACAAGTCTAATTTATTCTAAATCCGTGAGGTCTATGATTATAGAGTTGGGTTGAGGCGGAGAAAAAGCAGTAAAAGGTGGAAGAGAGTAGTAGCGGACTGTTCTAGACAAGATGTTAGTAGGAAGAGTTCTATATTTTGGGGTTTCTTCTAGCGCTGTAAAGAAGTTATTTCTATTGGTTTCTACGGTTTTTTCTACTATGGACACGCCCTCTTCTACAAGATTTATGAGTATGTAGTCAGGGGAAGAGGTAGAATGAAGGGTACAATGGTAGCGCTTAGTTTCTATGTAGTTCCAAAATCTATCTTCTGCTTCTGTTACTTTTATTTTTTCTACTCTCTCAATAACTGTAATGTTATCCGGGTGGTTGTGGTAATATCTACTAGCTTCTTCTGCAATTGTACTATCAATTTGTCTAATAAATGGCAAAACTTCCGGCATTTGTTCTTCAGAAGGCCATTGTTAGTAGTAATTGTTTTGGGGACAAGAGGTTAAGAGAAGCAAGGAGATATGTTAGTCACGGAATTACAATTAGGCCAGACCCCCAATTGTCAGCCTCTGGGTAACTAACCTGAGTATTTAATAGTAAAAAGGTTGTTACTATGAGTTAACTGAAGTTTTTGAGCGTGGTGAGTGTTAGGTAGTGGGTGATTAATACCAGTCCTGTAAAGAGGAGGTTTCACTCTATCAGTATGGTCTTTACTGAGAGGCTTGCTATCAACAGCGCATCCGGATCAATACAAGGTATTAATAGGCATCCAGGGTACTAAGACTTACCTGGGATTGATTTGGTTATTCCCAAAAGGGAATGGGCTAACAATACTTATTAAGCTTTAACAAAATTAGTTGAAGATTAACAGGTATTGTTGATGGGAATATTCAGCAAGGCTATGAATACTGTGGATAAGTTGAGTAAGAGTACTGAAGCTTAAGAACAATAAATGTAGACAAGATTTATGTTGGTTACGGGTACTGTATCAATATAAATGTTAACTGGTTTAACTGGTGTCTGAATATTCTGGGGATTAATCAGTGAAAGAGGCACGGATTATAAGTTCCAGAATACTGAAGGAGGGAAAGAATGAGCGCTCAGAATCAAGGGAGCTTTGGCCAGGAGAATGAGCACATCAATTGAGTGACTGATCATTATTTGTCATGATCTGTAAGTGACATCATAATTGTGTACTAGTTGATCAATGTTCTAGTTGCTCTTGATGCTTGTACTTAACAGATCCTCTAATAATGTAGTCATAATTGTGATCAGTGCATGTATTGAATGTATTAATTCTATTGACACTTAATACTTACTATTTAATACATGTAAATATTTATTTGTAATAATATTTGACTGTGAAAATACTGTAGACCAGGGATAACTTGTGGTACAGGTATTTCACGGACACAGGAGTGAAAGATAAGTGATAATTACTTATGTATAAAACAGATATGTATTTAATGGATAAGTAATTAACAGATAAGATAAATATAAGATAAATAAGGTAAGTTAATAATAATGATAAGATAACAAGAGGTCAAGGTAATCAACATTATGGATAAGTACTTATGTACATAAGTACAGGTGTTGCAGTTACTTGGTACATGAAAGGTACTGTGACATGTACTCTGTGGCTGACAGTATTTGTATATCACTCTAGATCTTGGACTTGGAAGTTGGAACAACTGACAATGCTTCGTTGAACTGGGAATCTAGATTCTTGAGCTTGGAACTTGACGGACGCTTTGTGGAGAGTTGTACGACCGATTGTAGCTCACACCCGCAATTGACTGTCCATCTCCAATCAATCAAGACCACCTGCTGCTGCAAGAATGGCTCGCGGTCGCATGAAGCCCCCGCCGACCCACTCCAAGAAGCAATCAATGATTCTCCTGTCGTCCGATGAAGAAAACAACCCTCCTGATGATCAAATGAGACCATCAAGTGGTTCCGAGCCCGATGATAGTCAGGATGATTCAAGTCAACCGCTGTGGTCATTATTCCTGTGTATGAAGGAAGAAAATTCAAAATTTTATTATTTATCAATCAAGGACTCAAGATATGGACAAATGGACTTCAGAAATGGAATCTACGGCCAATTTAATCCCTAGTCACTCACTGGAACCACCTTCATATCTCTACTGGATCAGAAGTTACGCAGAATCAAGGATGTCACACGGAGAATCACAGGATCAGAGGCACTCAGCTGGAGGGTATATTGCATGGGGGTATATTGAATATTGCATATTGAATTCCTTTTATCCATATTGAATTCCTTTTATACTTACAGAACCACAAGTTGGCCACCAGTTGTACCAGTTAAATTCCCATTTATTCAGCCACAGAACACCCAAATTCCTTTCTTACAGCTTACATATAAAAGGAATGCATTGTAGATAGTCTAGCCAAAATCCCTCAGGATTTTCAAGGATACGGCAGCTAAAATGCCTCATACAGGGGGTCCCTTGGGGCTAAAATCCCTCATATTTTACTATATAAGGAGGCCTCTGCCTGCCAGTTGTTTTCCTCCTCATCCCACTCAGTACACATTTTTGGTGGGACACCTGTCACAGATATTTATTACACAAGAGGTTCACAAGTAGTACAGTTCACAGTTGAAATATATACACAGTTTCACAAACATTACACAGAAGAACCAGTCCTTTTTTCCAGTCCTGGTTGAAGCATAGTGCTCCCAGACCCTTTGGGTTCAAGAACCACCTCTATTACATATACAGCATTAAGGAAGAACACAAGTATCAAGACATCAAGACGAGAAACAACATCACCAACTCAATCAATTCTTTGGACAACAAGATCAACCTTCAACAATTATACAACCATCTTTGAACATAATCCATTATCACCAATCAAACTGCCAAGCTTACCTTGGTGGTCTTGTTTTCTGATAATATAGAAAGGCAGAGTTTGCAGCTCATTTCATCCCTTTCTCCATTCAGCAAAAAGGATCTTACAATCGCTTTTTGAGTCTTACACCGCTTAAAAGAATTTGTTCCAAGCCTGACCCGAAAAGTGACCCGCGACCCGACCCGACCCGACCCGACCCTGACCCGCGGCCCGCCTGCTCCCCCAGGTGGGTCGGGTTTGGGCAGCATTATTGACTTTATGACCCGACCCACCACTTTTGCCGGGTCGGGTCTGGGCACTGTTTTTCGACCCAAACCCAACCTGGTTTCATCCTGACCTGCTACAGGCTCCAGTGTACCAGGTACCTAAATCCTCTACTTTTTCCACGATACCTTAGAGGGATTAAACCACCCCTGATTTATCAGGCCCCTCTGGTTTTATTTATATTAATTTTAGGCCCTTCATAAAAAAACAAGGTTTTTCCGTGTTTTGACGCGGTTTTGCAGCAGTGCACAAGGTTTCTGCGTTTGGACGTGTTTTTTTAATTAAATTTTTACACCTAATTTCTTATTATTTTTTAATTTTTAAAGTTGATTCCTATGTTGTAAAGTGCGTAGAACTTAATGGTAAAAATCAAAGGTTCATTCTCAACACTGCAATTAGACACTTTTTTCAATTAATTTTTTACAGCTTAAGTTTCATTATTTTTTGAAATTTTAAATTTTTTTCCTACACTTTTAGACATGTAGGAAATTATGGTAAAATCCATTTTGCATCAAAATGAAAACTGTTTCTTGAATATTGTATTCAACGTGTTTTTTTAATTAATTCTTACAGGCTTATGATTCATTATTTTTGGAATTTTTAATTCATTCCCTACTTTTTTAGAGGTTTAAAGTGCTATGGTATCATTCATTTTACCCAAAGATCAGATATACAATTGTAATTTATGAGCTTACCCATTTTCTTGCATAATTTGTACTGTGTACCAAGTTTATTTGTATGCAAAATGGATGTGACCATCAACTTTTAAACCTTTGAAAATGTAGGAAATGAATTTAAAATTCTAAAAAATAGTGAATAATAAGCCTGTAAGAATTAATTAAAAAAGGGCCTTAATAAAAAAACGCGGGTTTTCTGCGTTTTGACGCGGTTTTGATGCGCCGCAGCACACGCGGTTTCCGCTTTTAGACGCGGTTTTTTAATTAATTTTTTTTTGCCATTAATTTTAAGTTTTTTTGATTTTTTAAAATTGTTTCCTAGGTTTCCAAGCGTGTAGAATTTAATGGTGAATACCATTTTCCATAAAAATGAGTTTTAATTATTAATTTTTTTTCTACTCATTTTTTCTATTAATTGTGTTCTTACATGTTTGTAGCTTATTTTTTTATGTTTTTTTTGAAATTTTAAAGTTGTTTCCTAGGTTTTAATACGTGTAGAATTTAATGGTAACATCCAATTTTCTCAAAACTCAAAGGTTCATTTTTAATACTGAAATGTGACATTTGTTTCACTTAATTTTTTACAGCTTAATTTTCATTATTTTTTGACATTTTAAATTTATTTCCCACACTTTAAGACATAATTAAAATGATGGTAACAACCATTTTACATAAAAATCAGCCCTTGTTACTGAATACTGCGTTGGACATGTTTTTTTTAATGCTTTTTTGATTGATTTTTACCGGCTTAATTTTGATCATTTTTTGAAATTTTAAATTCATTTCCTACATTTATTAATGTGTAGAAGTTAATGGTGAAGTACAATTTCCCTCAAACTCAAAGCTTCAGTTATAATACGAGAGCGTGCACCGTTTCTTGCATAATTTGGACCGTATACAAACTGTATTTGACTGCAAAATGAATACATCCATAAATTTTAAAACCTTTCAAATTGTAGGAAATGAACTTAAAATTTCAAAAAATAAGGATAATTAAGCGTGTAAGAATTAATTAAAAAAACACGTCGAAGGCATTATTCAAGATACAGTTTTTATTTTGATGCAAATTGTTTGTTTCCAGCCTTTTTAAAATGTCTGAAAGTGTATGAAAAAAATTTAAAATGTCAAAAAATAATGAAAATTAAGCTCTTAAAAATCAATTGAAAAATATGACTAATTACAGTATTCAGAATGAACCATTGAGTTTTATGGAAATTGAATGTTACCATTAAATTCTAAACACTTTTAAATGTAGGAAACAGCTTTAAAATTTCAAAAAATCATAAAAAATGAGGTAAAGAAATTAATGCAAACAATTGAGTGAAAAATTGAAGAATTAAATAAAAAACGGTGTCAAATGCAGCATTCAAGGTATAGTTTTCATTTTGGGGAAAAATGGTTGTTACCATAATTTTTTACATGTCTCAAAGTGTAGGAAAAAAATTTAAAATGTCAAAAAATAATGAAAATTAACCTGTAGAAATTTAAGTGAAAAAAAATGTCAAATTTCAGTATTAAAAATGAACCGTTGAGTTGTGAGAAAATTGGATGTTACCATTAAATTCTACACGTATTAAAACCCAGGAAACAACTTTAAAATTTCAAAAAAACATAAAAAATAAGCTACAAACATGTAAGAACACAATTAATAGAAAAAATGAGTGGAAAAAAAAAATAATAATTAATGACAAAAAGAAATTAATTAAAAAACCGCATCTAAACGCGGAATCCGCGTGTGCTGAGCGCAGCAGAAACCGCGTCAAAACGCGGAAAAACCACGTTTTTTTATTAAGGCCCTTAAAAAAACACTTTGAATTCAATATACAAGAAACAATTTTCATTTTGATGAAAAATAGATTTTACCATAATTTTCTACATGTCTAAAAGTGTAGGACAAAAATTCAAAATGTCAAAAAATAATGAAAATTAAGCCGTCAAAAATTAATTGAAAAAAGTGTCTAATTGCAGTGTTGAGAATGAACCTTTGAGTTTTATGGAAAATGGTATTCACCATTAAATTCTACGCACTTTATAACATAGGAATCAACTTTAAAAATTAAAAAAATAATAAGAAATAAGGTGTAAAAATTTAATTAAAAAAACACGTCCAAACGCAGAAACCGTGTGCACTGTGCAGTGCTGCGCTGCTGCAAAACCGCGTCAAAACGCGGAAAAACCACGTTTTCTTTTTTATTAAGACCCTAATTTTATTAATATAAATTGGCCATATTTTTGATTTAATTCATAAAATCTATGTAAATGTTTTGAATTACTTGTGCCAGTTTTTTCCCAGAGTTTTTTACTATAAAAAATCTTATTTTTGCACCTTGTGTAGCTAGAAAACACTTGTCTTGGCATCACATAGGCTGACAAGACCCTCAACCCTAAACCTAAAACCTAAACCTAAACCCTAAACCCTAAACCCTAAACCCTAAACCCTAAACCCAACCCAAATCCTAACCCTAACCCTAACCCTAAACCTAACCCCTAACCCCTAACCCCTAACCATCCTTACCTTAACCCTAAACCCTAAACCATAAACCATCCCACCCCCCATTGAAGCGGGGGCCATTGGATTTCTGACACCTAAGCCAGGTCCCCAATGGCCCCACAACACCCAGTCAGATGAACAACTACACTCGAACCTGTCCAGGTACTGTGCCTCTCCTGAGCTAACCCTAACCCTAACCCCAAAAACCTTCCCCCTAACCCCCATCAGGGGATGGGGCCAGTGGGAATTGAACCACAACCTGCTGGGTGGTCAGATTTTAGGGCCAGTGGAAACCGCTGAGCTACAGAGACTTTGTCTCTGCCTCTTTTTTTGGAAATCAAGTCAGTTGGGGGACCCAGCTCCAGGCAGCTCACCCAGCTCTGGCTGCTCTTCGGTCCCAAATCAAAGATAATCGCACCATTTTCTTTGGTTTGGAACCAAAGAATTTGAGTGACACAGGTGCTCTGTACCATTGGTTTTCAGTACATATTACTTGCCTTGCAAAGCCCTTCATGGTACTGACACATCAAGTTGAGGCTAGTTTCTACTGGCTGATTATCCAACTCAATAGCGAGTTATTTGGCAACACAATGTATTCTGATATGGATGTGGACTGTGTCCGACTGCCCACAGAGGAAGAGGTCATGGCACATATGGCACTGATAGCCAAAGAATAAGTGGCCGGGGATCCACCTTTTGCAGCCTCTCCCGAGGAGCAGCCATCAGCAATTGAATGAAGTTGTGACAGTTTTTTGGCTGCTCGAGTCTACTCTGGATGTGACTCTAGTTTACTTCTTGTACATGATTAAATCCCCAAATTTTTTGGGGTAGAATTGGCAGATAATGCCCTTCTGATTTAAAATGTCAACTGAATCCACTTGTTTAACCATTATCATGACTGTCCCCAGCTGTCCCCTGAATAGAAACCTTTTGGGTGGCAATGTGACAGCGTCTGTGCCAACGGCAAGCAATGCAGGTGTGCGGGTGATTTTCCTGACCCACCAAGAAAAATGCAAGCAGGAGCAATGGTGGTTTTTCTATGAGCACCGTGCACTGAGACCGTCAACAAGACGGTTGGGGGATGCATTCCATTAGTGCATGAGCTGGGGAATTGTTGTCTATTTCTCCACTTGATGACGGCCCTCCTCCAAGCAACGTTGTCGTGCCGGCAAAACCCCCGCTGGGAGGCAGCTTGGGGCAATGTCTGTGGATGCGCATTTCCAACGGGTGCAAGATGTGCCTTTCTAGATGTCTCCTGACAACCGTCATTGAGACATTCTATGGGGGCCGTCGGAGCTTGCGTGGGGGGTGCCATCTTGCGACGGCAGAATTTGCTGTCATACTGACGGCAGACTGCACCCGGGGTGTACCGTGATTATTAGTGAATCAAACCACCATAACCGTACAACTCAGCTACCTTAGACCTAAATTGATTTACTTTACTCAGATTAAGGCATTTCTACTTATCTCTATTGCATAAATAATTGTCCCCCTGGTTAAACAATTCTGGTTCTTAAATGTTGATACACTTATTAATCTGAATTGTTGTTAAAAGACTTATCCTAAGTGAGTTGAAGAAGTCCTCACATTGGAAGCCTATTAATCCATGTAAAAGGATTGATCTGGATGCCCAATTGAACAATTGGATGAGTCAGCAGTAGAAGAACCATTCCTCACTGACTCCTCCCTGTTTCTTTTACAGGTTGAGGGATATAACCACAAATACAACATTCTCAATTCATCTGTTTGCTAACACTCAGAGCACAACCATTAGGTTAGTAGCATAGAGGCTGACAAAGCTTCTCAGTAAAGAAAATACTGATATAGAGTGGAACCTCCTCAGCAGGACTGGTATTAACACCCACTGACTCAAACACACCACACTCAAAAAAACTAGTCAACACTGAGTTATTGGATAGCTAAGAGTATCTCCACCTGGGGAGCTAAACCGGGTTGCTATCCTGCATTTAGCAACCCAACCCAAATTTCCTCACCCACCTGGGGTGCTAAATGAGTTTCTATTTTACCTTGGGAGGTAAAAATTGTCATGCAGTTGCCAAATTCAGCAACCCACTAGCAACTCACCAGCACCTGTGAAAGTCACCAATCCGATGACAACTCTAGTGTTTTCCTTGTGAATGCCAGATGACAAATCATCACTAATGACACTCCCACCCCCGTTCACAGACCTCTGGTAGGTATTATAGCAACCAAGGGTGTTTGCCAGGGCCGCTTGGGTTGTCAAACATTAACTTTGTGTTGCCATCCCGCACGGGATAGCAACCCAGTTTAGCTCCCTGGGTGGAGATGCTCTAAATGGTAACCAATCCACTCTTCATGACCCACCCAGATGTAATTATTTATGTGCACGGAGTGTGTTTAGCAGATTATCTCATGAAGGAAGTTAATAGAGGACTTGAGTGCTTGAAAGTATTAGAACGTTCCTTTTTTCTATGTAGAAAAAAAAGGCAAGAAGAATAAAAAGATGCTTGCCAGATGAAACAGCACCAAGAGATACAAATTCAAGAAGAAAGGAAGTGAATAAGGGGTGAAAGTGACTTGCGCTCTTTCGCGTATTCCTCCAAGAGTGTAGAGTTGTCTAGAATTACTCTTTCAGATTCAGAGCCAAGGGTTTTAGAGACGGGATAGATGTCAGTGTTTCAAGCCGTGAGCTTGTGCGGAGGCAACGGTGCCAAGGATCTTCAGTTGTTTGCCGACTTCTTGAAGTGTTCCAAGCACCTTTGAGTTCCCTTGAACGAAGCCCATCGAGCTGTATGTCAAACCCTCTTGCCGGCACCAGGGTTGAACAAACCGTTCAGAGGCCAGTCGAAGTCGATGACGCGGTAAACGAGGGAAGAGGTGATGCGTCACCTGCATGTGCAAGCCACCATGCAGAAAATCTAACCAAGGTGGACAGCTGACGTCCATCGTGGTCCTTATCTGACGATGCGCAAAACATTCATTAAGTCCAAGATCCGCGGTTGATTGGGCAAAATGCGATAATACGATCTTAAGGGTTTTGCATGGAGCAGTTAGTTACCAAAATTTAGCTGGTTGCTCATAGCACTTCCCGTGAATTTTTAACTTACTTGAACATGAAGCGGGCTAGTGACGGCAAAGCTGACAAGTAAAAACATGATCCGGGTTGGAATGCCGGGCAGTAAAGACAGAATGAATCCAAAATAAACCCAGAAAAATATGATACCCGCGACTAGAAGCAGAATCGCCCCCAAGAAAGTGTCAGCACACCAACCTAAAACTGATATATCCGGAGAAGGAACAAGAAAGAAAAAAAAGATACTTACTTTCCAAATTCCGCATCTTTTGTTTCTTGCGCGTTGCCAGATATAGGCAAGAGTTAAACAGTAAATTGAATCTTGCAAATAACATAATGAAATAATAAAATTGATGCTGGTGTTTGACAGAAAACTTTGCAAATCGATTGAAGCGCATGGTATGTTTATAGTAGGTAGAACGAAGTGATTTGAAGAATTTCGTGGAAATTGCAAAGAATGGCAAGTGTTGGATATCTGGGTCGTGCTCAGGATGATTGGTCACAAGATGATGGACATCGTGATTCTGTGAATATTGGATGAGGATCAATTAATCGAGGTAAAGGCCACTATGTACCACGATGACAATTTATGAAAGAGACGCTTACGTCGCACCACCAGCCAATACTGATCCCACCTAGAAAATTGCCAATCAGGATTCCGATCAAACGGTCTTTCAACCAATCTCCGGTAATACCCGAATGTCCGGCATCATGAGCAACGAAGGTAATTTGGTGCCACCAAAGGCCAAGAAAAACGGCAGAGACGAAGCATCGAAGTGTTGAAGGAGTCTCGACGAATGGAACATCGGTCGGGTCGAGGAGAAAACTTGCTAGATATCGTTTCAAGAGGGGGAACGCGGGATGAGTCAAGAAGAATGCTAGAAACAGAACAGAATATCTGAGCAGGTCAGGTCCATAACCATAGAACGGCTGAGGAGCACGGTATAGTCCAGCGGCGCGTATTTTGTCGTGAAGAACACGATAAGAATTTGATAAGTGTTTTTGTCTGGCTGGTGATAGATCGTAACCTTCTTGGAATGCTTCCTGGGGAGGATCGGGTGCTGGTTCTAAGGCGCTGAGGACTTCGTCTAGCCTTGTTGATGAAGTGACGTGATCGATGGTACGAAAGTTCTTCGAAGAATCGGGAATTGAGCGTGAATTATGATCAAGGGTGTGATCGAGAATTGCCAAGTGATCGGATTTTCGAAGGATTGGCTCCGGTTTTTTCCTGAGAGGTTCAGGATGGATCTCATCGGTGCAAGGCATCGGCCACAACCCGATTTGGATGGGTGGATTTAGAGGTTTCCAACCCACTCCCGCCTTTTTGTCCTCCCATTCTTCGGGTACGACTTTGCCGACGATAAATGGTCTCATTTGTTTGATGACCTTCTCTGGATGGTACGCCTCGATTTCATCCGTTGCATCTCGTCCGACGAAGTGTAAGATGGCCAGTTCACCCCCGGGATGCTTGTTGAGCCATGCATTGAGCTTGTAAACGTACGATCGATGAAGCACTCTGTCAATCGAAAGCAACCCAAGTTGTTAGATAGAGAAGCTTGCGGGTTAAAAGAGCTAGAGGAAAGACTCACAAGACCTGGCCCAATGCGATGCTGGTCTTGATTTGGTTGCGAGTCAAGAATGGGACTGAATCCACCGGATCTTTCGAGAGTTGGTCGACTAGTAGCCCTGGGTTGTTGGCCATCGAGCGAGTGGGATGTTGTGTTGAGTCAGGACTCAATCAGTTGTGCATACATCCAGGACCAGGGGTGGAAGGAAAAACTTTCCTAAGCCACCCTACATAGCACATAAGCCACCAGTCAGCGCATACATACACAATCAAACACAATCAGCTTTCACAGCAGAACACAACCTCAACCACTCCATCCAACTCCATCATACCAAACAAATGACTTCGACGATTGCCGGTCTGCCGATTCCAGATAGCGACCTATGCCACGTCCAATGGAGATCACTAGCCTGGATACTCGAGCATGGCCCCTTGACCGAATCGAACGCGATCGACTACTTTGCCCTGTCTCCCTTCTACGACCGCAAATCGACTAACCAGGTCTTGAGGATGCAGAGCATGTTCTCCGGTCAACCCAAGATGGACCCGGCCTCGGAGCAGGAAGCACTTCGGCGTTTCATCGGAATCGAGTACGCCCTAGTCCTCTCACGACCCGAACCAGATCGAGAGGGCGGTTTGTTTATAATCGAGAAACGCGAACGAAAGGGATACGATGAATGTATGTTTTCCTACAGAGAAAAGTAAAATATCATCTTGTTTGCGATCACCAAGCTGACCGTCAATGATTTTACGTCTACATGTACGCAGATTATCCGATCGCTTCATATTACATTCTCAAGACGTCGATCTACCAAGCACCCTCACTCTATGCCACCCTATCAGCACGAGTTCTCACTTCCTTGTCTGCCCTCCAACGACTCCTCGAACTGGCTCGTCAACACAAACCTACCTATGATCCACGACATAGCTATGCCTGGAAGATCAAGGAGAAGCCAGAAGAAAACACAGTTGATAAACAATCCACCGATCAACCCACCACAGAGTCAACAACTGAGGTCGAGCCAACCACTCAAGAGTCTGATCGGATGGATATCGACATGACTGCCCCTGAGAAGCCCGATGGTCCGGCTAAGACTACACTCAAAAAGAAGAACCATGATACACCCGAGCTCTCCAACCCGATTCTGTTCCGTGCCTTACAGAACACGATCACTAATTTTCCTGCGTTCAAGCCCCCTCCGGCGGTCGAGGCCGTTCCAGAATAATTGGGCATCTCCACTTCATTGGTAGGTTCTCTAGTCAACCATTCATAGCTCTAGAATCTCACCTCAGGCTCCAATGATAGATCCCCTGGCTTAGAAGGCCTAACCTCATTCACTCAGCTCTCCATTCAATCCCAAGCTCATCACGCTCCATTCCAAGATAGGCAAGCGAAAACTCAAGGCCCCTGCAAAATCAGGAGGTATAGGAACGACAAGCGATAAGCGAAAGTTAGCTGCTTAACAACTCTATATCGTCATAGCTATCATGTCCATAATTGACTTGAAAAAAAAAATGTTGTAAAAATATTTATCACTTTCAACACACATTGAGCTTTTGGCATGCTCAAACCGGCTTCTCGGGTACATTAGGCGCCCTTTCTGATGAGAGGCTGTTTTGTTTCAATAGACACAGGCTAATTTAATGGAGTCCCCCCTCTGAATACATTTGGTTAGATACACGGGTATTCTGAAGGAAGGAAATGGATTGATTCATGCAAAGAACAATGTACACCTACTCAGCCCGGCCCGGCGCGACGCAACAACCAAAAATGACTTGATTCATCAAGTCAAAAGTAGAAACATTCTCCGAGCACATCACAAAATTATTCATTTGTGTGACTTTCAAGTTAGAAGCAAATCAGGATTTAATTTGTAAATGCTACGCCTGAAGCGCATCCCTTCAGGAAATGAAGGGTCTCAGTAATCATCATAATTGATGACATTTTTTTTTTTTGTGCTTTGCTTTTATGTACTTGTATCAGGAAGTGACAAAATTACATTTTACACATCTAGATTATGTGCACCTAAAATTCAATGAAATTCAACGCGAAGTGATCTACAGTAGTGGGATGAAAGAGTCCAATCGCATGTTCGTCTTCCTGTCGCAAAAGGTCGCAAAAGCACATGATTTGCGAATGAGAATTTGAAAAAAAAAAAAAATGCGCTACCCTATTTGCTAGCTTAGCTGCTCTGCCGCTGTCTAGCAAGGTCTTGCATAACTGTTTCAGCCAAGCAATGTAGTGGGAGATGCCATCAATACGTTACCTACGAAGTAGTAAGTTCAACTGAAGAACTCACCCTACTGGCTTGGTTGCGTCCTCGCGCTGATGGTTTCCAAAGGCGTGTTCATGCGATTTACCTTTTGGAACGGCATCTAAGAAGTTCCCTGGGCCTCCTTCTTTGATCTAAGTTGGCTTCGGAAGTTAGACCATGTACGTAGCTAGCGGGCCCAAAGATACGAATACAATAATTCACTGACCAAGCATTCCGTTATTTCGATGATCGAACAGAAAAGACGATCTGAAGAAAGCAATTATGATCTTGTCATCCAACTTTATTTGAATTCCGCGAGGTCAACTGGGTTGAACTCACCGACAAGCTCTGGTGACATAGACTCGCGAACAACGACTCTCAAAATTTGCAAGTCTTCCAGATCCGGAGGCAACTCATAATTGGGTACTAAATCATGGATAAACGCTCCAGAAAATTCAGTACGGTTCGTGATGTCTTCATACGTAAATAGATGTAATAGAACTCACCGATCCATGCGTGCGCTCGCAGTAATGCTATATCGACATATTTTCCAGGTTTAACAGGGTGACATTAGTAAGTGCTTTTTCGCTTCAAATAAATGCACCGAGTAAGGTTGAAAGAATTTACTTTGAACCCATGATTGCTTCAAGTGTGGATGCTACGAGAATCACATATTAGTTTAGTTGATGAAGGCATTTGAAGATGAAGAATTCGAGTTTGCTTCACCAACCTTTTTCTTGAATTCATCGGTCCAACAAAAAGCTACAACAGGCAAGCCCATCACATATTCCTCAAACTGAGAAGAGGAAGGCAGGTGATATCAGGTCACACTGTCCAGAGCTCCCCAGATAGTTCCCAATTAGACTAACCTTGAGGCCTGACTCCCCAAAAACCTGATCTCTTGGCTTTTGCATGTCGGCTTTCTTTCTGTGGATGTCGGACAGCACTTTGTAGTAACGACTTCGCTCTAGCGCTCGAGATAACAATCTGGCATTAGCCAGATCATCCAGACCAATCGCCCGATAGCCCTCGAAACCAAGTTGAACGAAGTTGTAATACTGGTGAATAATTGGGTGCGCCGGTCTCGAAAAGTTGAGCGAAAAAGAGTATTCGACCGATCCAAGCTGTGAATGAGGTCAAGTCAATTCTAATTCAATCTTAATCCCAATTTACAAGCGATTCCAATTACTGACATAGTGAAGCTCAAAGATCAGCTCCTTTGGCAAGTGAGCCTGGTCTCGCCAAACGACCCAGCCACATCCAACGTAAGTGAGACCAAATTTGTGTCCTGAGGTATTTATTGAGACAACGCGTGGTAGCCTAAAATCCCACGGAAGATCGGGGTAAACAAATGGTGCGATAAAAGCCCCCGATGCCTTCATAATCGATCCACAGGGAAAATGTTAGCTTTTTTTTTCAGAATCATGGAACTTGACTTGATAGTAAAACTCACTCCATCCACATGAATCGGAACGGAGATTCCCGTTTTGGCTTCGTATGCATCGAGCAGGTCAGAGAGCGGCTTTACTGGCTCAAAGTGACCGGTGTAAGTGCTACCGAGTATCACAAACCTGTAGGATCGATCATTTGATTGAGCATTCCAGAATACAGGCAGAAATTTGGGCGAAACTTACACGCCAATGGTGTTTTCATCTCTGATTATCCGCTCAAATTCGATGTCAGACTGTGACATAATGGGATTCCAATCTATAAAAAAAGAAAAGGAGACGCATTGGACTGACACATATTCCATGGCTTTTATGGGGTCAAGGCAATAGTTGGTTTTCTCGGAAACGGGAACCAATCTCATCTCCACATCAAAGTATCTGGCAAATTTTTCCAAAGCTACCTGCGCACTAGACATCCCGACGAGCGAAAATGTCAGACTTGGAACGAATCAACTTGAATGAAAAGTACAAGCTAACTTGGCACCCATCACGATGTTCGGCCCTGGTTCGTGGATGGACTTTCCGGCTGCTTTGCGCTTGGCCTGCCATATTTTCTTCATAGCCAAACCTCCGAGTTGAATGGCTTCCGAAGAGCCAGTAGTAGCAGTTCCTGAGAGGTATATGCAATGTACCACAAGTTAGCACCTCGGAGACGTTTAATGGTTATGCAACCTGCTTGCCTATTGCGTTTGATGAATTGTGAGCGTGCCAGAGATGGGCAAGCATTGAAATACAACGCGTGTGGAGGATCTGTGGTATTATTACAAGAAAACATCAGAGTACAAAACAAGAGTTGATTTCTGCTTAGGGGAATGCTACTATCTATTACATACCTGAGTTTGAGGGTACTCATCCTGGCGGAGCAAATGTATGGTCATGTTCGCGTGATCAATTTTCGAAAGCAGGAAACACATCACATTAGTAGAGTTGTCAGTGACTAGAGTTCCGTCGGTATGCATACCTGATCGATCAAATTTTTCCCCAAGTTTTCAACGCAGAGTTGTATGGCTTGCTTCTGCGAGATTTTTTTTTTGTGGAAATTATACGGGCACATCAGCTTAAGGATCTTCTCACCAGCAAACATATTTATTCATATAGACTTACTGGAGCCCAGGTGTGGACAAAACTGGCCAAGTTGGCATTTTCTCTGCCATCTAGATCAAGAATCTGGATTTTGTTGAAACAAGTAATCAGCTCGATCAACTTGAATTATAAGGCAGAAAACCAGCGAGAGAACATGCTTGGAAGATACGAACATCATGGATTAGTTGATAAGCTGTGTCTGGCTCAATTCCTTTCGAAGGCAATTTGAACTTTGGTATCTCTCGAGAAGCTAAACGGACGATAAAGATGTGAGCTAGGAAAAGCGTGTGTATATTATGCCTGTGAGCAAATAGGGTTACGGGCATACCATATCGAGAGGAGTAAGGAGTTGAGATATTCTCATGGTGATCGCCGTGCACCGTTTTACTGTTTCCACAGTCAAGCGCGACACAAAGAAAAGCATTCCGAACATCGATCAGAATAGGACGAAATACATAATACTAGGAAGGAGACTGGCACTAACTGGCCATGTTCTTTGACAGACTGAAGCAGCTGCTCCGGCTTGACCTAATGTTCCAACGATCACATGAGTTCAATCAACGATGAATCTGTTGACCGCAAGCTGAACCGATAGCCTGATGGAATAACATGGACTCACATGTTTGGATAGAGACATATTTTATGTATCAGGCCTTTTGATGAGAAGAAGATTCAAACAATTGAACGTTGATGACTCCGTTCGAAGACGAGGGGGAAGGGACTTGGAGCAGGAAACCAAAAGCTCAAGGCTGGGTGGTTCGACGGGTGGGAGTCGAGGCAGGGTGCACTGAGAGGGTATCTGGTGCGTGATATTAAGATATGATTAACCTCTGTTGACGTCATAAATATGTACTCTGCACCAAAAAAAAAGAGGACATTTTTTAAGCATTTTTATCACGGAGATGCCTTATAGCTGATTTGATGAGGGGCCCCAATTCTTTTTTGACCAGAAGCGAACACCAAATCACTCTGCCGACTTTTATAAATGACTGTGAACATGCTAATCCAGTTGTATCAGATCTTCAAACTTCTTCTAAATAACCTCCATTAAATTTAAATCCCACTGATCAGCATGAAAAGCGATTTCATGGGTGATTCCGGCCTTAACCTGTTTTATTGATTGAAACAATAAACTTCTATTGTGTTTTGAAGAATGCTTGGACGGATTTGCAGGATCTTCACTCGAAAATCCTGTATTTTCAATATTTAAGTTTAGATTTTTATTTGATTTTTTTGCCTCTCAAAGCCATGATGTCGTCATAGACAATCACCTTTGCCACAGCAACCTCCATCAATTCGGATTCACCATCCAGGTGGCCAGCTGCCTCCAATCCACCTCCCCCCCCCCCCCCCAAACCGCTAAAAACGACCAACAGACGATAGCATCAGCGGCTCAACAATTGGATCAATAACACAGTCGGAATAAAAGATTCTTGGAAGCAACAAAACATCGTCCGATTATCTTATTGCTAGCAAATTCCGGAGGATCCACTGAACCAGTCCACTGTCATCCGAATTCCCGGTGAGTACTGCATAATCTCAACACTACTTGGGAAACATGTGGGTTCATATCAATTTTGCCTTGTTCCCTTTATACGCAGGCACAGATATTCACTTCAACTTGCGCACTTTGATGCTGTTGATCTTAACCTGTTTCCTATCATGCTTCTTGCCCAATTCAGTAACATTGATCCTGACCTGTTTTCTATCATCGTTGTCATCCTAGTTATGTGTGATTTTGTTGTGATCTTGAAGATTGGTATAAATCAGATCTTACATTCAATATCCAATTGAATTGATGAGATGTGTACGAGCAGTCTTTGAGTTGTCATCGATGCAATGCAAGCCTTGTCAAAAGTGACCGATCTCAAGACTAGAGTCGGATTGAATAAGTTGGTGAAGGAAACCCATCCAGATATTAGAGTGGATCCTTATCTACAGCTCACAACTTGACACTTCATTCACTAAGCTCCTGGATTAAAGCTTCAAAAGCCTCAGGAGTGATAATTGAATGGTCTTCAGCGGTCAAATGGGAGTGAATTCAAAGTCTTTTTTGTTACAAGATTTTTAGATAAAGACAGACACTCTGATTTCCTGGTTACACTAATTTTTTTTGTTCGTTCAAGGATCAGATAAGCAGCAAAATTCAAACCATGGAAAGCAAGAGAGATAAACTGAAACTTTGAGTCAAAGATCACACCGATAAGTTGAACGATGGTTATTTGAGGTTTTTGTGATAGACTACTGAGGTGATAATGCAAAACAATCAATCCAGGGAAGTTAGTTGTGCCCTAAAAGCAAGATTTTATATGGATCTCAATGTGAACCTGTGGTAGGGAAACAAAGATGAAAATGCCATTTAAAATGTTTAGTTTGATGCAACACAGAACTCACAGTGTCGGAGCAAAGATCGACCATCATAACATGTGTGATCGTTTGTCGAATCGCCAATTCAATTTCTGGGTTATCGGCCTGAGTCAAGACTTGTGAAGCCTGCAGTCACTGTTTAAATGCTGCAAAGCCGAGTTCAATTGCAAGCAAGATGTCAGTGGTCACATTAGGTCTCCTCATATGGCAAAACAACTACGGAGAAATCAGACACTAACCATTGGTTGGCCTAAACCAGGGGTCCTTGAAGCGCCGTTTGGATCGCACAAATTCAATTGGATACCCTCTTGTATTGATGTTTTGGTTGGGATCGGTGCGAGGATAATCGGGAGGATCGTTGTATATCGGTGGTGGTGGTGGTGGTAGGGGTGATGGTCAGCTAGGATGCCTATTTCTGCTTGATCACAGCAGGGTGGATCAAACCAGAGCTGTGTGGCAAAAATCAGCAGCTTAAACTGCTGAACAGCACCGTAACACCATAACTTTGGTGCTTGGAAAACTTCCGTTTGTCCAAGCATTATTCAAAAGACAATACTTGGGTCGTCATGTGTCTCCAGGGTTTTATTTTGTTGAGAAATCGACATTTGAATGCGGAGTTCATCTAATAATTTATTTCTGTAATATAAGAAGCTGCGAGTATTCACAAATCGATTGTACGTGCAGAGCTACCAAGCGGAAAACAGACCAAACCCATAACAGGCGCTTCTACGCTCGAGACAACCATCTTCAGATCAAATTTATGTAAAGGTTCAAAAAGTATCTACTGATGTCCAATCATGAATCAAAAGACTGTCTGATTTTGAGGAAATAATTGGACCCCTTTTAGGTCGGAAAATTCTCCTGGTAAGTTGTGCGAGTAAAAGTACTCGATGAGCGTGCAGTGCAGGCCTTTTAATTTTTAGACCATTGAAGGAGCGCTTTGAAAGCTTGTACGGTAGCGATTCGCTTCTCGATCGACAAGCCTTCGATGGCGGACAAGCTTCTCAAGAGCTTGAGGATGTCTTGAAGTCTTTGAGGCTCACCGATGGACATCAGTCCACTGGAAAACAGAATCCGGAGTCGGACTATGAAAGTGTCGTTCCAAACCCAGTCGGCTTGTGCCGTGCTCAGCAGTCCCGAGCGTAAGTTTTCGAGAAAGCCTGGCCATGAGTTACTCCCCACAAACGGCTCAATCAAGGCTTTCAATGAATTTTGCTCAATCTCCTCTCGCCATATTTGATTGATCTGGTTCTGCACTGAAAATCAAAAACAACTCATGAAGAGATTATCGACATCAATCCTTATAACAAGTCATGTTTTCTTGGTAAATTTAACATCTCGACTAGATAACTCACATTGCATCTGGTAATAATTCATCATTTCCTTAGAAGAAGCGGCAAGGGCTCTGCCGGCCTCCCGGGCTACTATTTGACTCTCTGTTGGCATATCGATATCATATCACAGGATAGGTCAAATTTTCGACTGATTAAAGCTGGTATATAAACATGAAAACTTGCGTACCAAATTTTTTCAACTGTTCGACTTGACTCAAGTCGGGCAAGGTATTGAAGACCGGGCCAGAGGCTTCCAGGAAGAAATGCAAAATATCCTTCTGTTTGCTTTTGTTGGACATGGCGATCAGAAACAACGCCTCAACTGAAAGCTTGAACCTCGACGCATCTGCCCGTTGTTGGCTTGTCTGCAAGGCTGACAGAGCTTGCATTCTTTCTACAAGCATCACTCCCTGACATCTTTCAAACTCTGCCTTGATCTTGCTCAGTTTCTCTTGGTCTTGATTCCTGGTCGGAATCCGATGGCGCACTGTGTGGGCTGTCCACAACAATCAAGATAGTCTTACGCGTCAAGCCCACTTTATACCGCGATCATTTAATGAAGCAAACGCGGCTCTAAGATATGCTTGATTGACTTACAGCTCAAGAGTTCACGGAATTGCCCTTCGACTTCAACCAAGGCTAAGTAAGTGCCCGGCGGGTAAAAACAAAAGATGAATGAGGAGCAGAACGAAACCAAGCGGGTGATAGGTGTGTGTGTGTGTGGGGGGGGGGGGTATCCCAAAATTGATGATAAGCTCTCTCAATACTAATTATGAAGTGATAGGCAGAATTTCGAGAAACGGCGAAAATTGAGCATACCTTCTCTCAGTTCTGTAGGACCAGCAATGTCCAAAGTTTCCAAAGCAACTCCGCCCCTGTTGGAGCGGCAGTTGACTTGGGAAGCTGGTCGCGTACTAGAGGTGCTTGCGATAGCATCGAAGTATGGCCCCAAGCTTCCCAAACGCGAAGGAGCCCTGAACGCAGCCCTGACGGTAGAAAGCAACGTGGAAGAGCTCACAGAGAGCCAAAGAAGTGTCTTGAGCCTCATACTTGATCTCTTTACAACAGTCTTTGATCAATAAAGTGGAGTATGAATGCGTCTGCAGATGAAATCAACCGCGCCGGTACCGGGTGAGCGTATGAAAATGTGTTTGTGTGTGTTTCTTGGTGGGAAACATATAAACATTGAGGTGAAGGATTGCTCCATTGATATACCTGCCAGATTCAGCAAATCAGGCAGAGACCTGAACGCGACCGACTACAGACCACCCAGGAGCTGACAGGACCTCCCGGCCAATATCCTAAGGCCCAATCGCGCAAGTAGATGGCAGTACAAGACATGCTTCACCCGCTATCGCTTGGTAGGGGCCAGCAACTGTATCTCGAAAGAATTCTTGAGATAATCGCTGATTGCAGTGTACAAAATGTTCTATCTCCTCAGGTGGGCTCGACAGAGGAGTCAGTGAGGCCAACAGGTGTTTAGGGCGGTGGATTCCGTTGTGCCGCGAAACTTCTGAGCTACTAGCCACGAATCATCGCGTCATGGCTGGATGATGATAGGAGAGATATCGAGCACCCACTCATGAGACAGACCCAGACTCAACCTGCAACCCTCTCACTAAATTTCTGCCCATCTAGTCTGCACTTTTTTCGTTCGCAGTATGAACCACTCCATGGAAAGTGGTTACAATATTGCAAGTTTGGAATGTTACGTGAGGCAACACAAACCTGAGCCCACTGATCCTCAAACAAGGTTACTGATTTTCTTATCGACTTCTTCTGTAAAGCAATTGATCAGTAGTGAGCAGTAAATTGTATTACTCTTGTCTGATCTTTCGAAGTGCTGTAGGTTTGAAATCCTTATAATTGATACTCACATCGCAAAGAAGGTTTTTCTGACGAGACATCATCTGCTTATCTTGCTCCGAATCGATAAGCAGTTTGGAAGAAATTCTTCCAAGTTTGTAGGACACCATCTATGGCAGACCTGATACATACACATACCATACAAATGCTACAACCTGCAAGAAGTCCATAAAACCTCAATCATTGTATTAAAAACTAAAAACTATATTCAACAAACCGCCAGGTCAGGCATAAATTCATAAAAGCGTAATAATGGTGTCATATACGTTCAAGATTATACAATTTCTGCCTGGTTTTCCAACAGAAACAAGTGAGCATGGGGTAAGTCAGAATTAGACCGGTTGAGCATTTCATCTTCCCCATGCAAACTAATTTTGGATTCAAAAACGATGTTCATCACTGGATTCAACTCATTTCAAGTCATGAGTTGAGGCCTAACACCAGGCAAGAGCTTATCAGGAAGTGCCCAGTGCCCAAGTCTTTTGTCTATGATTTTGTTTTTGTTTTGGAAACATGATATTAGACCACTTTCTAGTAGAGGATCTAATGGAGAGGCTCTTGGTCGAACCACACTTCTCTTGGAATGAACTGGGACTTGACAGCATGAGTCAACAAACAGTTGACTTGAAGATAGCCAACATATTGTTCTGGCTCAATTACTCTTACTTTTAACGTTGAAGGTTGATCTCAACATTAGTTCTTCATTTTCTTTTCTGGCAGAGCTAATTCCTCTTTTGTAGTGTACTACTGTAGTGTAGGAATCACCCCATAAGAATCATGTACATAAGTGTGGCATTTTGGTATTAAGATCGGATTCAAACTTCTGAGATCGCATCAATGGCGCTAGCAAAGGACAAAAAAAAGAGCAACCCCTTGACTCGGATCTTGAAAAACGAGCACCTGGATAAATAAATAAAAAGATAAATAAGCTGAATAATGGCCGACTTGCTCAGTCGTCCCAAGCCATCCCAACGTCAACGAGCTCTTCCTCGACGATTCCAGAGAAGTTGCGATCGGAATGGCCGGCTGTGCCGGATTGTACGAACTCATTTGAGGACTGGTTCTGCTGTTTCTCGGCCGAAGAGTTCCGGAGGTCTTGGATGAGCCGCTTGAGCAGTTCCTTGTCTCGCTCGATCTCGGCTGACTTTTCTTTGATCGTTTGCTCGGTCGATTGGACTCGTTCGACGATCCGTTTGAGCGTCTCATGAGTACGTTCTGGATCTTCTAGAGCTTGTTCATCGTCCAAAAACTTCAGCACGTTGGTCGTTGGATCGATTTGGGCATTCAACTCTCCAGATTGGATCATCGTTTGGATTAAGAGACGCGCGTTGCCTTCGGTCAGATGTCCCAAAATCGAATCAATCCTTGCGATCGGGATTGATGTGTAGATCGGAATCAGTTTTTTAATCGCCTTTCGAGGTAGAATCTCAATGCATAGTTTGAGCAATCCCGAGTTATTGTCCTAGTTTTGTGAGGAAGGATCAGATCTGATGAGTAATTGAGAAAAAAAAAGAAAAGAAAACAGATCCTGGCAATCATGATCGCTTGACTAGATGAAAGTTAAGAGCGGACAAACCTTTTGGAAGTTTGACAGGTTCTTCTCGGCCATTGTGAGCAGTTGCATGTATGCTTCGCTACTGGTCTCCGCATGCTCATATAAGCTCATCAGATCAAGATAGGCTTTGTTGTTGTTGGAAGTTTTGAAAACCGTTCTGAATTGAGGGTGAGTGTAAGGAGGTAGTACAGGCGGAGATGAGTTTGAGAGCAGTGAGACGAGTATGAGTTTCTTGTACGCGTCTAGTTGAATTTGAGAGATGGCCGATCCTGGAGCAGAAACTGCCTGTAAACCAAACTCATGTCACAAATTACGGTCGAGTGTTTCGATCGGCAGATCAAGAAGACAAAAAACCCACAATGGTTAAGAGATGGATTGCTCGTTGGTAATTTTTACCCAAGGCTTGAACGGTTCCGGCGAGGTAATGATATATTAAATGATCTTGATATCGGATGTGATACCTCTGTGAAACCATGTTGGCTGCTTTTAGTATGTGTTTGTGAAGAGCAAGAAAAGTTTTCGAGGGTGGTCGCGCACCTGTTGGTCTATGTTGATATCCAAATTGGTGAGCTCTAAAGCCTGAGCAATCGAGCGCGTTTTTAAAGATATCTAGAGGGATAATGTGGCTTCAGACAGCTGCACTGGTAAATTGAGGTTGGATAAGTTGAGTCAAGACGGGCTTACTCTGAGTAACTCATGGTGAAGAGGGGTGAGGATGTTGAGTGGACTGTAAGATCGAATAAGTTGTAGGAGAGGTTCGATAGAGCTTTGTAGTTGACCGGCGTTGGTTGAGCAGCTGACGAGGTGCTGAGCAAACAAGTAGACTGAGAAGGACAAGAGAGGGTAATCGGTCAAATGATTGTGAGTATGAGGCTGGAGGTTGAAGAAAGGACTGACTGTCTGAGGTAGTTCGAGAGATCTTAAGAATTTGTTTCCGATCGAGAGCTGAGCAAAACTTATGAGCATGTGACAAAGTTTTCTGGGTATCGATCTTGTTGCGGTAGTTTTCAAATCGGCAGAGTAGGATGTGGAAGTAGGCTAGAGGATAGTGTTCAGGCTGGATGAGTTCGTCCAATGGGTCTATGCCATTTTCAAGAGGTAAACTGGCAAGGATCTCGTGAGGCGTATTGCTGAGGACTTGGATCAAGTTTTGAGAGGAAGTGGTTCGATTGGAGATGATCCAATCCAGTAATCCATTCTGGCTGAAGGGTAGCTTGCTCCTATTCTTCAGTTTGGTGGTGTTCGAGGTTGGCTGAGGTTGGTTGGTTGAGCTTGAGTCCATTCTCTCAAAGTCCCAAGCTGTCGGTGTTGAAGTTGTTGAAGTTGCTGGTCAAGCTTGAAGTCGCCCTGGGTGTAGTTGAAGATAAGCACGGGCCACTCAGCATATGCATATATGCATCAGCCAATCAGCCAAAGACAAAAACCAAATCACATCAGACCAACTCACCAACCTCAGTCACACCAGAACAGAACCAACCAACCAACCAACCACCCAACAAAGCCAACATGCATCTTCAGTACACCTTCGACCCAGACGGAAACCGGTATGTGTTGACTGAATCAATCTTGAAAAACAGGATCAGTATTGAAATCTCTACCATATTCTCTTTAAAGGATCTATACCCTCAAGAAACTTACTGCCGAAGGCAAGGTCACCAAATCAGCCCATCCAGGTATGTAGGCTTCCATCAAAAGGAGTAACATGATCACCAACATGCTCAAAAACATCCTTGTTCCTCCCCATCAGCTCGATTCTCACCCGACGACAAGTAAGCATCCGTCTCTCCTCAACTCACTATCTATCCTGGCACTAACACCATCATCGACCAACTCACTCAATCCAGATTCTCTCGTCATCGAGTAACCATCAAAAAGAGATTCGGAGTCTTGCCCACTCAACTGCCTTCCAAGCCGATGTAATCAACTCCATCACTCAGCTTGCATCCTTCAATCAATCGCCATCACTTGTTCTTCTCCTACTGTCTGTCTAATCAATACTTCTTTTTTTCCCATCCTGAGCCAATGAAAATTCAATCACAACTTCAATCTTTGCTCATCAAGTAACGGGCGTCCCTCTGGAAGAAATCATGAGGATCAAGCACTGCTTAAAGAATATTCATTCAACAGTCGCTTTCAGGGATTGGTACAATGCATTCACAACCCACTATGTACCCGAATATCAAATCAAGCTCAACAGTCAGGATAGTGTTTGAACCATTTCAGCTCAATGGGTAATTTAATTGTACTGCATAGGGGGGTCTGGAATGAAAGGTATATATATAGATACAATCAACATATATAAATGACTAGTTGACTACTGGCCCGATCCTGGAAAAGTTGATAAGATGTTAACTCGTAGCCGCATCGTTAGCTACCATTGCGATTGCCATTAGAAGCTTGTTTACCATTGCTGGTTTGAGTCAGACTGGATTCGACCGGTTTGAATTGAATCGGTTTTCCACTCCGCATCCATTGATCGGCTTCCTTATTCTTGGGGTAATCCAAGTCCAAATACGTCGACCTCTACAAGAAAGTATCAACCGAGTCCCCCAAAAACCGTAAGTGACGACAAAAGCTCTGCAAGAAAAAGAGTTCTGTGGGAAGGGAAAAAACCACCAACAATTTTACTGCGTTCTTGAGTATTCACGTCCTGCTCCCTGTCTCTTTCCTTGACTTGTTCCCAATTCACCATCTCTCTGTATTAATGTAGCAAACAAAAAAAAAAACAATCACACTCCGCTTTTGATTTTTACTCAACCAAGAACGAGCTAGATCTGGCTTACGGCTTGGTATAAGACATCATCAAGCTCGGCGGCCCGAGGGGCAAGTCTGGATGTTGGTCAATGTTCCTGGGTCGAAAAAGGGGGAAGCCTCTTAATCAAAAGCTTTAGAAAGAAGGCAAGCTCAAAGAGGAAGAATACACACCAGGTATGTATAACTTTCCCAAAGGTCTTATGGATTGCCGACATCATCTCGCGCTCTTTGTTCTCCGGCACTTGACCTTCGATACCGCTGGCATGCTTTGTGTCGCACAAAACAAGACAAGAAAAAAAAAAATTATTCGATTACCAATCACATACCACGGAGAGAAAGTAGTGCCGTATTTTGTGAAGCCAAAGCTAACGGGTCATGCAAGAGAAGGTTGAAATATTATTGGAGTAATCAAGGACAACATTACCATTTGAATCAATACACCACTCTCGACCTCATACTTGTGGCTATGCCAGTATTTCTTTTCTTCGACGGGTAAGTTGTTGAATTTGTCTTCAGAAATCAAGTATTCTATGCCTAGGTAGAGTAGCACATCGAATTATTAGTTATTCGATATTTTATCAATCGGAAAAGAAACACCAATGAAAATTAGCTAGTCACTTACCAATCAAACGTGCGTTAGGCTTGTCAGAATCGTAGATGATACATTGATGGAAATCGGGAGAGACACAGGTGCAGTAATGGTGTGATTCGATCTGTCTTCCATGCTCATCGGCCACCACATGGAATGCGCAAAGGTGTTGATGAATCCTGTTTTATTATCATCATTGAGATTGAGATGTGTTATTTATACAAACCAACAATCAGGAAGAGAGGGAAACCAAACGAGAGAAAACTCATAAGTAATGTGCCCTTTCCTTGAGAAAACCAGACGGTCAACTCAACTTTGCCATAGGCGTTTCACTGTCCAATTTTCAACGATTCATCGTTCATGGATCGATCGATAGATCACGAAAAAGATATAGAATCCATCCCGAAGGAAAATTAAGGCGAAAACATGAAATCGATCAGAACTCTCTCTCATCATACATCCCTACCTGCAACTCTTATCATCACTCACAGAACCGACCAAGGTGCCATCTTGCACTTCGAAAGCTAGAGTATTATATGTGTGGATTGGATTAGAGTCTGGTGGAGTCCTGTCGAGCGCTCAAGAGATTGATATGTACACAACAAACCAGTCAAGAACTGTTGTTGGGTTCGGTTGAGTTCTATGTGGTTTCAGTTCCGGTTCGGTGGGGGTCTCTTTTTATATCGACACTGCATACATCAACCATCTTGCTACCAGATCTTGTTTTGATAAGGAAGGAGGGTCTGTTGACCGTTGGCCGGATCTGACGTCATCTGCTCTTATCAGCTGGTCCGTTCAATCGGCTTTCAAAGCCAGCCAAATTCACTCTCACTCAACTTCTGTCTCACTTCAATGATTGCCAAACGATTGACCGTATGGTTTTAATGGGTACGTAGCGGCTTACATCCATACATATATCGACCCTCTTCCTCTGGAGCTGTGAAACGTGAATGAGCTTCCTCAAGGGATGATTCGGCTTCTCTCCCCAGCCTATGCAGTCCCATTAACAGCAGTCAAGAAGAGAGACCCGTCTTACTTCATGCCGGAAGGATGGATTGCTGAACTCTAAGCCTAATTTTGATTTAATGATGGCCTGATTGCCGGTAGCCATCCTAATCATCACTTGGCTCTTACATGAGCTTTATGGTGTCCGCATGAAAACCGAGGTGGATGGCTTATCTGAAACAAATCATCTGCCCTTGTATGGTCGATCTTTTAATCTGTCGGTTAGGAGGGGTGCTTTACAACGTTCGGATGAGCTGAGCCGGCTGCATGTAACGATTAAGGTCACAGCAGCCCAAGACAAGCAAAAGGAGGAATGATCCACAGCACACGCAAACGGATCGAGCTGACTAGTTTTTTCTTTTTTTTTTTTTTTTTTAAGGCAAGAACAGGATTTGAAGTTTTGATTACGGAAATTTGATGTTTTAAGGATAAAACAAAGATTTCGCCATGAGGAAAGAAACCCTCGAGGCGAGTACAAGTCTTTAAATATTATTACCTAGCTACAACCCAATTACGCTATTCACTGATTCTGCTGTCGCTATCTTCTTACAGATTAATATACAAATCTTCTCTTCTTTAATACTTCTTTACAGATTGATATAAATCTTCTTTCTTTTCGATAGTTATTTTCTTGATTCTTTTCTTGAAAAAATCCTCTTCTTTGATACTATTTAAAGTGTCGAGCCATTTTCTTTTCCTTCTTATAAGAATGCCAATCTTTTTTGAATTTTTCCCTACGTCATCGAACCACCTTTCTTAACTGAATTCATTTTCATAGTAATTTTTTGAATTTTGCTGTGTGTTGTGCCTGCTCGTTACAAATATGCCTTGCCTATTATATCCTTTTTTCTTGGATTTATACAAAGCCACCAAATTGTTCCTAAAAATGTCCAAATAACTGTGCAAATAACTTGGGATATGTCTGTCAGCTACCCAAGTATCCTCTCCCGGAGTAGAGTTGCGCCAGCGAAGCAAATAATCAAACTTACCCTTACTTACCTGCCTGGCGTCAAGAATCATTGCTAGTTTGGACCAATCAACAATTCTACCTTCCTTGTAATATTGTTCCCTAATGCCCTGAACCGTCCCGCGACCCTCAACGGTGAAACGATGCGATGCGATAAATAGCCATGTATCGGTATCGCATCGAAAAAGCGATGCATTGCATCAAAAAAGCGATGCATTGCATCGAAAAAGCGATGCATTGCATCGAAAAAGCGATGCATTGCATCAGCATCGTATCGGAAAGCGATGCAAACCAATGCCACCAAATTATGGTGCATCGCATCGCATCGCTTTGCCGATGCGATACTGATACACTGTATCAAAGAATGCGATGCAAGCGATGCGATGCGGGGCCCCGCATTGCTCTTGCGATGCGATGCGATAAAGGCCCGATACAATGCGATACCTATGCATGCATCGCATCAGTTTCATCGTTGCGACCCTGAACCTCCCTAGGATTGTTGTATCTTACTACCAAAGAAACATTGAAAACCGGATGAATCTTTGGGTAATCCTTAGAAATATCTAATCTTACCGCGTTCTTTCCTATCATTTCTATGACCCTAAACGGGCCTAGAAACCTGTAATCCAATTTCGAGTTTAGCCTCCTGGTCGAGATAAACTTTCGTAATAAGAGAACCTGATCTCCTTTTCCATAATGCGAAGCTTCCCGCCTTCTTAAGTCATAGTACCGAGCTTGTCGTTGCTGAGCCTGAGTTAAACACTCGACTGCTCGTTCTTGAATGAATTGTAGATCCTCCGCAAATTCATCCGCTGGTTTAATACCTGAACTATCTGTCAGTACACTGAACTTGGGATGGAACCCGTAAGAAAAGAAAAATGGGGAAACTCCTAACGACGCCGAATCTGAGTTATTAATTGCAAATTCAGCTAAGTCCAAGATCTTATCCCAATTATCCTGATAGAAGGAACAAAAGTGACGGAGGTAATCTTCTAAAACCTGGTTCATACGCTCTGTCTGTCCATCCGTCTGGGGGTGGTAAGCGCTGGAATATCCACTCTTAATTTGTAATGAATTCATCAGACTATCCCAAAACTTACTTACAAAAATTGATCCCCTATCGGAGATTATCTTCTGAGGTAATCCATGAAGCTTTACCACATTTGTTCGGAATAAATTCGCAACCTGAGCTGCTGAGTAAGTCTCCTTACAAGGGATAAAGTGAGTCATCTTACTTAACAAATCGATTACCACCATGATCGAATCGAACCCTCCCGAGTCCGGTAATTTGACAATGAAGTCAATTCCAACCTTACTCCATGGCTTCTCCGGGATCGATAGTGAATTTAACTGCCCTTCGGGTCTTTGATGTCGGGCCTTAACCCTTTGGCATGAATCGCAAGTCTTGACAAATTTGATCACGTCCTTCCGAACTCCAGGCCAAGAGAATGTCCGAGTTAAAAGAGCCAAGGTTCGCGCAATTCCCGGATGACCCGCTGAAGGAGTGTCATGCAACAATTGAATAATCCTGGTTCTCATTGCCGTTGGAACATAAATCCTGTCCTGATGCCAATACATATCCTGAAATAATTGAAGATTTTCTTTCTCATCCTCGCTTAGATTAGTGTATGACCGCTTTAAATAACTTATTAGATCATCAGTAGGTTTTTGAAAAAATAAGTCATGCTTAGCTGTTCCTTTTTCTGCTTCGAGGGGGACCAAATCATTAACCATTTCAGGTACTAAGCGTTTTGCGATTGTTTCTGTTGGCGAATTCCTTAAATGACCAGAGATGTAATCAGGGCGTCTGCTTGGGCCGTTGGCCGGGTTGCGTTTCCCGGAAATGTGGTGGATTTCAAAATTAAATTCGTCTAGAAACGCAGCCCATCTGGCCTGCTTGGGGGAGAGCTGTTTAGCTGAGCGAAAGTATCTCAAATTAGAATGATCAGAAAAGACCTTAATTGGTTCATCGGTGCCCATCAACCATGCGCGCCATTCTTCAAAAGCCGTCACGACCGCTAATAATTCCAAATCGAAAATTGGCCACCCCCGTTCCCTGTCAGAAAGCTTCCTGGAGTAAAAACTTACAGGGTGAAGCTTCTTATCCAAACCTGGTTGACTTAATACTGCCGCAATGGCGTATCCTGAACTATCTACATGAATTACCCTTGGAAGCTTAAAGTCAAAGTGACGGAGGAGAGGGGCCTTTGAAAAGCAAGCTTTTAAAGCAGCGAAAGAGATTTTTGGACCTTTCTCACCTAAATTTTGAATCGTACATGCACCGATTTTTGTTAGGTCCGTAAGAGGAGCCGCCAAATCTGAGAACTTCGGAATAAATCTTCGATAAAAGTTAGAGAATCCTAAAAATCGCTGAAGTTCCTTAAGGGTCTGCGGGTATGGCCAGTCCAAAATCATGGATAGCTTTTTCGGATCCATTTTAATTCCTTCGCGGGAAATGTTAAAACCTAAAAATCGAACTTCGGATTTAAAAAATTGGCATTTTCCTAAAGAAGCCTTTAAAGAATATTCATCTAACTTTTTTAGTACCTTTTTTAAATCCTGAACATGTTGTTCTCTTGATTTTGAATATATTAAAATATCATCGATATATACAAAACAACAAATGTCCAAATACTCACGAAGGACGTGTTGAATAAAACGCTGAAAGGTGGCCGGTGCATTGGCCAGTCCAAAAGGCATGACCCGGTATTCAAAAAGTCCCCACGGGGTCCGAAAAGCTGTTTTCCACTCGTGTCCTGGTTCGATTCTGAGCAGATTAAAAGCCGACTTAAGATCTATTTTAGAAAGAAATTTACAGCCTGCTAAATTATTCAAAAGTCTCGAGACCAGAGGAAGAGGATAAGAATCTCGAATCGTCATTGAATTAAGTAGACGATAATCTATACATGGTCTGTCAGCCTTGCCTGGGACCTTAACAAAAAAGATAGGTGCCCCTGCCGGGGAAGATGACTCTCTAATAAACCCCTTCTTCAAATTTTTGTCAATGTATTCCTTTAATTGTTGATTTTCTTTTTCGCTTAAGTTATACATACCGGTGAAGGGGGGGGGTACTTCCTGGCTTAAGATTAATCTGGCAATCGTAACCTTCTCGATGAGGGGGCAGAGAGCTTAAACTTTCAGAAACAAACACAGGCTTGAATTCTTTTAAATCAACTGGAAAATCATCAGTTTCGATATGAGAAATAGAAAATACAGGCTTTGGAATAAACAGGCTCATGGGAGCGCCGCCAATAATTATTCGATTCTTTGACAACCAAGGAGAGCCTAGAATAATATCTGCTGATGCTAAGTTAGTAACAAAAAGTTGAACTCGATAAGATAAAACTGTAGAGGAAAACGGTAGTTGAATCTCCCCAATCCAACATTCTTTTATTTCTCCCGACCGAGCCGATACTCCATCAAAGCCCCGACAAACCAAATGATTCTTAAGCTGAACCAAAGAAAGGGAGTTCCTACGTACGAAGTTAGAGTCAATGAACGAAGCCGAAGCCCCTGAATCGAACAGGGATGAAGCTT